GAGGCAGAATTTCTTAAATTTAGTAGCACTTCTTTTATATTCTGTGCTACTTTATATCCACACCTATAATTTGGTATTTACTGCTCTGTGCAAATTGTAAGGCAAAAGTGTTAATAAAGATAATAATTATTATTACTGCTATGTAGCGCACCATGCTTGGAATTTCTCTTTTGGACCACGTACCCAATGTAGACATTCGACATCGCGCAAAGGTAGTAGACGTGGGTACGAGGATAGCCCAGCTTAAGTGGAGGTGGGCGGGGCACTTGGCTAGAAGGGACGATGGAAAACGGACGAAAGCCATTACTGAAGGGTGGCCAAGAGACGCTAAAAGATCATGAGGTAGATCACCCGCCCGATGGATTGATGACATCAAGGCCGTAGTTGGGAACCACTGGACACGACTCGCAAGGAACCGGAAAGAATGGCGCAATAGAGAGGAGGTCTATACTCAGCAGTGGGTGCAAACAGGCTGAAATGAGTGGCGGTTAATGACTATTTGCTAGGTATACTAGATTACTTTTAATTACGTTTTGAAATACGTAAGGCTGGTGTTGGTAGATGGGGCCGCTAATATTGATAACTTTGTGTTCTACTGAAGGTCCATTTTGGCTTGACTCGAGATATGACATTCCGAAATCACTTCTTTGTTCGCCAAGACACAATCGAAGCACGACTTCTCATCTCTCAAACAAACAGCATTGATCTTCGGAAACAATATCCGAAGTATGCAATTTAATATCGCTCCTCGTCCCTTCAAACGTTCCATAAGCCGGTCTTCATTTTAGTCGCAAAAGTCACCAAAGCTCCCTCACTAAAGTATTCAAACTGGTTATTACATTTGTAGCAGAATTGTAGGTCATTTTACTATTATTGTTTTGTTAAGTACAACTTTACCATGTTACCATGAGTTATTTTTATTTTCCCTATACACTCATTGACTAAATCTACAAAAGGACAACTTTATACAAAAAGCGCAACAAAAACTAGTTACTATAACAATAAAATTTATAATATATATGATCTAGAACACACCGACGTGAGTCATAGACATTGACACCAACAGAGCGCATAGCAATAGCAAATATGTATAATGACATAATAAAAATAATGACAGATGAAACTTCACGGATTTTTCTAGAAGCAGGTTCTCTGTTGTAGTTTTTTATAGAGAAATGTCGGATATCTCCATATCAAAATTATGTGCAAGGTTAGATATTTTATTAACCGACTTCAAAAAAGGAGGAGGTTCTCAATTCGACTGTATGTTCTTTTTTTGTATGTATGTTACGCGATAACTCCGGTATTTGTGAACCGATTTTCATGATTCTTTTTTTGTTGGAAAGTGGGTACTTCCATAGTGGTCCCATTACATTTTGAAGAAAATCATCCACCTCGAAGGGTGGCTGTTCACGCATGAAGATTCACTTTTATAAATAGCGCCTAACTTTAATTTAGGAGCAACTACTTTAATTCAATTCAATTCAATTCAAATACTTTAATTCAGATTTCATCCATATTGGTTAGTATAACAAACAAAAACTTACATACTAGTGTTAGAAGATACAAATTCATAAATACGTGCTGGGTTTAGGACATACATGTAATTTAGTCCAGTGTTCAAAAAATGAACCCTGGACCCTGCCAGCAACAATACCCACAATGCTATTACCGCTGCCACGAACTCTGCGCATCAAGGATGCCGCTCTTTTTCTCATTATGGCGGCAAATCCGTCTACATGGGCATCGGCGAACATTCCTGACGCGCTACAGAATCGCGGCAGCCGCAACAACATCCGGAATATATTGTTATATACAACTCTTAGAGAGTTGATAGCTTTCTGAGTGTAGTTGACCCATAGGCTGCAGGTATAAAAGGTCTGGCAGTAAGCTTTAAAAAGAGATACCTTTACGTTGTCCGTACACCTTGCAAACCTACGGGCCAACATATTACCCCGGACTGCTATTGCCCTACGCTCTCTCTCAATGTCAGTGTTATCCTCCAAGGACTCACTGACCCAATGCCCAAGGTACTTAAATTTAGTAACCCTATTAAGAGGAGTGCCACACAGCTTAACTTCAGGGACGTTATTAAAGCCATTGCTACCCGCTTTGAACACAAGCAACTCACTCTTAATCGCATTGTACCGTAAGCCATGGATCTCAGCATAGCGCTCACATATTGCAACTAGTTTTCTTAGCGCGCTTATTGAAGGACTCAGCAACACCATATCATCCGCGTAACTGATATTATTCACAATCTTTCCATCCAACGAGCATCCGATTCTGGTGTTGCAGAGTTCAACAATTAAACCGTTCATGTATATGTTGAAGAGACTTGGCGAGCTCAATCCCCCCTGTCTCACGCCACACTCCAACCCATACATGCCCGACTTCGCGCCCGCCCATCTAACATAGTTGCGCTGATTATTGTACCAAAACTTAAAAATACTAACTATGTCACCTGGTAGATCAGTTTCATCCTGTAGCTTACTCCACAGCCTATCATATGATACAAGATCAAAAGCTTTGGATAGGTCGAGGAAGCAAGCATAAACAGGAGTTTTCCTAGAGGTATAATACTGGACAGTGTGCTTGAGGCAAAGGATAGCAGCTTCTGTTGAAACTCCCGGTCGGAACCCAAATTGAGCGTCATGCAATTTCAAGTGCTTTCTTAATTGCTTGTCAAGCAAACTGTCCAGTACTTTTCCCACTATAGTAGCCAGGGATATAGGTCTATAATTACTAATACTAGAGACATCACCCGTCCTGTTCTTTACAATGGGGACAACAACAGTTTTCATTAGGTCGTCCGGCAAGTATGAATGCCCTACACACAATGTAAAGAACAAGGCGAGCACTCTAGGTAAGTGAACACTTCCATACTTCAAATGCTCTATGCTGAGAAAATCATGGCCCGGGGACTTACCGCGTGTCATTCTTTTAATCACATTTGCAACCTCCTTTGCCGTGAAGCGGACCTGTTGTGGTTGCCCTATGACTTCCGTACCTCGAGACTGACATACAGCAGGCCCCAGCGGTGACTTAATTTCAAAATTTGATCTAAATAATTCAGCAATGAGGTTGGGCTTAGTTACTCCTTCCACACTGACCGGTAAGCTAGACTTAATATTACAATTTTTGGTCTCTTTCCAGAAATCAGAAAACTTTTTATTTGAATGATGAGATGCTAAAATATCCATACGTAATTGTTCTTGATTGTTTTGACACCATTTTAGTTTTGCTTTAAACACTTTTTTAGTTTCCTGCATCATATTGTAACTGGGACCACTTTTAGGCTTACCACAGTTAATCCAGTCCAAAAACCTAAGTCTAGCCTCCTTATGATGAGCACTTACATGTTTGTTCCAACCTATTACATGACTTTTCTTTATATGTGTATACATAGTTTTATCACAATTACTGTACATAGCCGCCTTCATTAAACTGTCAACTAAAGACCTATACATGTTGTCCAAAATAATTTTGTGTTCTACATTATCACACAGCTTATCACTACAAACATTGAATTCTGAGGGAAAGTTAATGTCTCTCAAATACTTAAAGCAATAATCGGTGTACAGTTCAGTATGATAAAGGTCCCTCTCACCCCAGATAATTTTACTTTTTTGACTAGATGTTACACTATTCTTTTGTCTAAGAACGTTCAAGTTACAACTTAATTCTAAGGGATAATGATCCGACCAAGACACTTCGTAGTTAACACTAATGTTCAACACTGAATTCCTAGCTGCATCCGAAACCAGACAGTGGTCTAACCAGCTTCTGGTCCCATCTATGTCACTCAGAAACGTATATGTATCAGAATCAATTCCCAAATTAATGGTTGATTTTGCTATTTCTTCCATTCAAGGCGTCTTTCTCCCAATATACTTTGAGTAGTGTCGTAGTGAGAACCTATTTTTATTATCTCCAGCGTCAAGTCCTGTGTAGTGGTGAACTAGGGGATATTTCAATAAAACTTAGCAAATTGACGTAATTCCACGTACTTTTGAGGTCGGTTTTTTTAGTACTCTGTACTGAGATTATTCTTAAATAATTAGTTTTGGATTATTATTTTAACCTGTATTCAGGATGTTACATGATCAGATAAAGTACATCCTATCGTAATAACGAATTAGCATATTCTTTAGACATTAATCTTAGAGTGGTTACGCGACTTTAACAGCGATGCAAACGCGATACAGTAGCTAACCGTCTATTTTCATACACGCTTGACATTAAGCATCGATGGAATCGCTTATAAATCGCAAGTGTGTAACAAGTCTTACATGCACCGTTTATTTTTTATAAGACCGTTATTTAATACTAAATACATAAACCATTCCTACATGGGGTTTGGCAGAAGAAGCTTGAAAGTAGAATTAATGCAGTAGAAATGAGAGCTTTGAGTAAAATATAGTGACAACGATAGAGAAAGGGATGCTTAGATGGTTCGGATATGTAGAGAGAATGAATGAAGGAAGATTGACGAAACAGATTTATAAGGCGAGTGTTGGTATGGGCCGACTAAGGCCAACTTACCATGACCAAATTGAGGCCATCCTAAAGAAGGGCCAGGTCAAGAGTACCCTTATTTGACGAGCGTGTATGAAATCACTGATGCGTGATGATGAAGCGAAAGATCTGTGTTAGCACCGTAGTAAGTGAAAGACTGTTGTCTCTGCCGAACCCGATGGGAAAAAGGCGTGATTAATAGGTAATGTATGTGTAAATAATTTGATCTATCAAAACAGTTTTTCCTGCTTCTCCAGTGACTCGCGTTAACTCGAAGGCAAATTTAAAAGTCAATTATTTTGCCTCTGTAATTAGAAATTTTGCTTTCATAATATACGGTTTACTTTAATCTTGTTCGTGAAACCATTAGTTTACTTAATTAACTTGTTAATTATTTTGTGAGTAGCTCCGAAAATTATGGCCTATTTAATTGTTGACGAGTTGGTTTACAATTAATTGGTATTATTATGATTATTACTAACTTGCAATAATACAGTCTGCCATCTCTCCCCGTGTGCACCGTCCAGCCTTCCTTGAGTTCCACCTGAAGTCTCTCTAGCGCAGCCTCGTCCTCTACCGCGGTACGATTCGGCCTTGGACTGCCGCCCAATCGTGGGCTCCCGTACTTGGGACTGGCGCCCAGCTTGGGGCTATTGGCACCCAACTTGGGACTGTTGGAACTAGACGCTCCATCGCTCATGCAAGGACTACCAGTCGGGCGAGACCCAAAATTTGGGCTCGGGTTTGGCCTTGGACTCGGAGCGAGTTTAGGACTGGCCGTGCCGCTGGGACCAGGTGATGACGACGTCTGCTGCAGCAGCATCGCTTTCACGTCATCGCACCATTGTAAATCTCACTGCCACCTGAAAAAGAAATCACAGTCCATAAGTATAGAGGATCATAGCCGACATTTACATCTTAACATTTAAATAACAAAGGATGAGCTCATTTCCCCTGAAGCGTCAGGTAGGTACAAATAAAATGGCAGACGCTCAAAAACGCCTTAAAAAGAAACAGGCAAATGAAACGCCCTCGTTGGCGAGCCCTGTCTGAAATGGCAACACCGATTAAAACTGGCCGCAAAAAGTCCACGGAAAATGCCGCCCAAATTGCCGCGAAAAAAGCACCCGAGCATTGCCGCGCAAACTGTAATCGCTGGAACGCGGCGAACGAAATATAAATGAAAACGGCCGCCATTTTTGTAATGACATTTGTTCATTCGCACATTTTTATTGGTAGCTCGACAAGTTTAAAGACGATGTTATTTTTGGTAAGTGTTCTGTTCCCGTAACGACCTTAAATATTATATTTATTTGAAAAGAAACTTTTAATCTTGTATTGTTTTATAATGTCAATGGCATGCGTATAAACGTTTTTCGAGGATTTATGTTGTTTCCGCCGGTATTTCCTCAGATACTGCTGTCACTGTAGTAATTTGTCTTGAGTTGCCCTCGGGAGGCTTCGTGAAGGAATCCCTATCAATTTCAAAAGCCGTAAAGAAGTTTAGGAAGTGTTTTATGCTGTCTGATTTAACTTAGTTTGTAAAAAGTATTCAGCTCGAATAATTTTGAGCGTGGAAGAAATTATTTTTGAAACATATTAATCATAAAAAGAACATTTTTTTTAGTAAAGATGTCTGTCGTTTCATTAAAGCAACAGGGGACGGTCGACAAATGGGGAAGTTTTGTCAAACTGTCGTGTCTACTGTCACATAGCTCTGTAAATATGCGACGAAAACGTGTTAGAGAATGTCAATAGCCTATAAAGAGACAAAATAATACTTTATCAGACTGTAAATTTCGAACTTGCTTCTTGTGCGCATGGTAAAATAATAATAATTGTCAATTTCGGTACCTCTTTAGCCGGGAAACGTGAAGCAGCACTTCGAGACATAAAGATTCAATTAAACACGTGAGGATACAAACTCAAGTAGGAACTTAACCAATGACATTATGAAGCCTAAAGCCGTGTAATGGAACCAATAAGATCCAAGCCGCACAAAGGAATTCGTCTTCCACACGACTAGACGCTGTACCGATTTACTACTTTAACTCCTACGCTATGACACTACAGCCAGAATAATTTGAACCGAACCTGAACCATCACTAACGAAATTGAATAGAAAAATTGCAAGCGCTTAAAACTTCAGAGGTCATCCTACAATCGTCAAGAGGCGAGCGACACAACACTGTAAGTAATGGAAAACAACAATCAAAAGCAATGAACAATCCCTACAAGTACACTTGTTAGAACGAGATGACATATAACAAATCTAGTAAGAGTGAAAGAGATAAATAGCTAATGTGACAGGTAGCCGGTCAGCGACCTTTCCATTGTGTTTCCAACCACTTGCGTGGACAATTTCGTTGTTACTTCAATTAGGTGAAGTTAAGAATAAAATTGTTTTGGGTAAACTTACAAGAGGGGGAATCGGTACATATCATGAATAAATATCTAAGCTGTTGTTTTGTCTGCTACATTGGCTGTATAAGCAAAATAAAGTGTCATTTTCTGTCTCTCTCGACTAACAACCGTAACATTTGGCAAAATTTTCATTCAACGTATTTTCACGTTTAACATTTCACGTCTTGAGTTTTAACTCGTGTTAAATTCGTTCTTTATATAAGAAGGAAGATATACGATTACTATTGAATTATGTTTTGCTTTTGAAAGCTGAATACAGTGGCACGTCTTATTACGACATAAAATCTTAAATACGGCACCCATTTAATGAGGGGAGGAACCATTTATGAACATGATGTATTATTAAAAGTGAAAGAAGACGGAGAGCTGTTTTTAAACTTGTTTTAAACATTTGTCGTTATTATCAACCTTTGTCAAAACAAAATGCGAGTTGGGGACTACACACGTTTTAAAAGGTTGTGAGCATTCTTTGACATACAGATTCCATCACGGTATTTTTATTCACCGTTAACAACAGGAAATGTTATTGAGCACTCACAGATATACGTAACGTAGAAATCAAAGCCACTGTATACTTAATAGTATAATGCAGTTCCACATTCTGGCCTGGGAGATAAGACTGATACGATTGTGTTAGTACCATACAACACAGATTTTGGAAATTTAATTATTGCTGACAACACTAACATCGTCGTCAAAATTTTCTCTCTTCTATATTGCCATTTAACGATGTGTTTGTTAAAATAAACATTTATAAATAATGTAAATCAGGGTGTTTATACACCGTCTCAAACACATCGTTTTTCTACATTTCTACATACATACATATCATCCATCGAAAATATCTTACATCTCTACTTGATTCTTCTTTCTTTTGTCGTCAAAAGTAGAAAAGAAACATTTGGATTGCATCATATGGTGTTATCTGAGGCGTTCATAAGCTCATTTCGCGTTCCAGTGTTAGGTTAGGTTAAATTACGAGGAAACACCACAATCACGCTGGAAATCCGAATAGAGGTGGTGAAGAAGTGCTTCTTTCCCAACTAGATCGCTTTTGTAATCTTGACTATACTCTTTCATCATAATCATTCTCCGAAGCTGGGTTTATTCCTCCTATGGTTTGTGTGATCCGTCACGATCTTGCTCTAGTCTCATCCATCTACGGCCTGCGACTTTGACAATGTCATCTACTCATCTCACTGCAGGACGTCCGTCGTTCCTGCAACCATTTTGTAGCCACCATTCGGTTATCGTTTTACTCTATCTATCATCGGCACACCTTGTAACCTGTTGTCTAACTCCATTTGTAACTTCCTTTGAACCTCCTCTATTGACCTCAATAGGTATTTCTTTGCGATCTTCGCCTATTGTGTTACATTTAGTAACAATACTCGTCATAGAAAAAAATCTAAAGAATGTTTTTAGGTCAACAGGCCACATTATCTTTTGGGAGAATTTATAATTTGATTGCACAAGATCTTTTGTTTCATGTTTTACTTTAACGACGTAATAAAGTATTGTCTTATCTTTATAATTTATTGCGTTAGTTTTGTTACGAAATTGAGAGTGATATAATAAATTAATTGATAAGCTTCAAAAGTTTGCTCGGTGCTTATTAGACTCTTGTTTACTTTACAGATGACGTCATTATTATTGCTTTTGTGAAAAGGCAGAAAGTCGACCATGATAAGACCAACCTTTGGTCAAGTGGTGGTATAATCAGCTGAACAAAGGAACACGAAGGCATCCTCATTACTAAGCTCGCCAGACATACAAGCAAGCCAGCGTCAACGAAATCACAACATATTATATTATATTACGATAAACTAAAGAGACAATCGGAATCAAAATATTTGAAAATGTAATGGAAGGACGTATATTCGGATTGGTATGTTATTTGCATGTGACGGCAAAAGAAACCCTAAAGACTAACTATGACAATTGTCATTTTAAAATTTTCCAAATTTTTTTTATAAAATCAAGTGACGGTACGAACAAGTCGTGCGTCTGATGGTAAGTTATACGCCTGTCCATAACAGTTATAGTGCCACTCAGATCTTTAAATTGCAAAGATCTGAGGGGCACTGCCACTGCGCCCGTCACCGTAAGACATAAGTTGACAAGTCCCTTGTGCCTGTAATTTTACCAGCGCCCTTACCTTTCAAAACCGGAACACAGAAATGCTGATATTACTGCTTGGCGGCAGAAACAGGTAAGGTGGCAGTACTACCCTGGACGAACTCTTTCACAAGAAGCTCTACTGCTACCTCTTACAATCCTCACTTATAATCTCTGCAATCAGATTCGCGCCTTCATTCATGGGTTCTTTTGGTCAAAATTCTTACGCCATATTTCGCGGTCCTATACCAAAGTCGTGGCTTTATGTGACGGCACTTCTGGCATCTTAGTTGATGGCATGATTATTCCGAAAAGAACTCCAAAGTTTGGATTACTTTTAAATCCGCGTTTATGGTGTATTTGATGTAAAAATTTTAATTTTTTTTTTAATAAATAACTCACACACTCAGCATAGCCCCGCACTAGGGAAACCCTGTGTCGCGGGTGCCATGGACACACACATAGACAACCACAAATTACACCCAAACTCACGTGAGAAATAATTGTAGACCATAAAACTATTTCTCCCGGCCCGGGAATCGAACCTGGGACCTCTGCGTGGCAGTCCGGCATAGTAACCGTTCGGCCACGGAGGCGTTACAATATACGATAGTCTTTCTCGGATCACTTTGCAATAGATATAATTACTAAATACACATCAAAATCAGAATTCAAATGTATCACGTATCACATAGCATCATTTCATAGGTGAGGAAATTACACTTGAAATTGTTACATTGATCAAATACCCATCCACAATTCTCTTGAAAAGAATGAGCATGGTACTTTAGAGGTTTTTTTCACATTTCTCATTTACAACGTGTATCCCAAATGTCATAAATAGAAACAACCTGGTAGAGCTAACCGGGTCACTACCATGGATTTCTGTCATCCAAGTACGTAGCAGCTGTCGTACTTTATATTTGCATAATATTGTGACGAATAGCATAAAACAAATTTTCACAATGAACGGTTTATAAATCCTGCGAATTGGGTAATCCAATGAAAAATAGACATCCCAATGGTGGAGTTTATTAGGAAAAAAATTGATAATTCCCATAGGATTGCGTCATCTCTGGATATTGGCTAAGGCACCCCGCCATCGCTGCACCCTATTTGTGAGATTGATGATGCTATAGTAAAGAGATTTAAAGCAAAGAAGACCGTTAAAGAAAGCCGTTTTTTCGTGGAAATACGGCCGTATGCCCGTAGTACATTATTTAAAGATATACT